TAAAATTCAGTTTAGCTCTTATTTTATCTTTTATCTCTTCTGATAATTTACCTACAAGTTTGTCTTAAAGTTTTTTCATGGTTCACTATGACCTTCAACTCTAGTACATAATTTGATCCAACTTCTTTTTTTCTTTTTGAGACAGAGTCTTGCCCTGTCGCCCAGGCTGGAGAGCAATGGCATGATCTTGGCTCATCGCAACTTCCACCTCCCAGGTTCAAGCGATTCTCCTGCCTCAGCCTCCCAAGTAGCTGAGATTGCAGGCGCCCGCCACCTCGCCCGGCTAATTTTTTGTATTTTTAGTAGAGACAGGGTTTCACCGTGTTAGCCAGGATGGTCTCGATATCCTGACCTCATGATCTGCCCGCTTCGGCCTCCCAAAGTGCTGGGATTACAGGCATGAGCCACCGTACCTGGCCTCTAGATTAATCTTAAAGTACAGCTGTCATCACATCATCTTGCTCAAAATCTGTCAATAGTTTCTCTACTACTGTAGCATAAAGCGTAGACTCACACTGCACACATTGATGATTCCAGTTTACCTTTTTCTCTTCTACCAAAACCCCTTTGTGCATTCTGTAACAATACTCAACTACATGCCAGTCCCTGTTCTTGGCCTCCATCCTCTTCATTTGTACGCCTCACAGAGAAAGACATTTTTCACACCAACTCTGAAATGCTATGTACTCTTCAGTTTACCAGGCATTCCTGATTCCCCCAGCCATGTGTGGTCTCTTCCTCTTCTGAACTGGCCATTTATCCCTTGGTGTCTCAAAACTTACCATCCTACAAAATCCTGGCATCAGCATGTGATTCATATACCTTTTTCCTATCCTGCACAGAACTCAATATAGCTTAATATACATAATAGATACTTCATTCAATAAATACTTTAGGAATGTGGATATGCAGGAAGGATTTCCCATTTTCATTTTATTTGTAGCTACTCATTATATTGTTAGCACAACAGCAACAGAGCTATCAGAAAAAACTAAGGCTTTTCTAGCTGTGATCCAAGCCAAGATGAGCTCCTGTCACTATAATTGATGTCACATATAAGGTCCAGAACACAGATGGGATGGAAGCAAACACCCACTGAGAACTGTGAAGTTTTCCCTCCCAAAGTAATTTAACAACACAAAATTATTGCAATAATCTTCTCAAGAACCACCTGTATTGGTTTTTCATCTAAACCTCATTGAAAACAGGGAAAAAGAGAAAAGCAAATTTCTCCTATCACAATCCTAACTGGAGACCTGATATGTCTATATCCACTGGCATTACTAAGTCTCATTAAAGGGTGCTCCCAGGCTGGGCGCAGTGGCTCACACCTGTAATCCCAGCACTTTGGGAGGCCAAGGCAGGCAGATCACTTGAGGTCAGGAGTTTGAGACCAGCCTGGCCAACATGGTGAAACCCCATGTCTACTAAAAATACAAAAAAAAATTAGCCAGTCATGGTGGCACATGCCTGTAGTCCCAGCCACTCGGGAGGCTGAGACAGAAGAATCACTTGAACCCAAGAGGTGGAGAGATTATGCCACTGTACTCCAGCCTAGGCAACAGAGCGAGACTCCATCTCAAAAAAAAGTCCAGGTCAGGTGCAAGTGGCTCATGCCTATAATCCTAATCCTAGCACTTTGGGAGGCTGAGGTGGGCAGATCACCTGAGGTCAGGCATTCAAGACCAGCCTGGCCAACATGATAAAACTCTCATCTGTACTAAAATACAAAAATTAGCCAGGCATGATGCCTGTAATTCCAGCTACTTGGGAGGCTGAGATGGGAGAATCCCTTGAACCCAGGAGACGGTGGTTGCAGTGAGCTGAGATCATGCCACTGCACTATAGCCTGGGTGGCTGAGTGAGACTCTGTCTCAAAAAAAAAAAAAAAAAGGTGGGGGGGACTCCCTGCTAATGAGATTTTTTCCACTTAAAGGAAATAATGCATGCATGTCAGAGGTCACTGTACATTTACTCTCAGTTGTGCTCTAATAAGGATTACTTATTGAAGATCTGTTTAAACCTTCTCTTAACTACTTCCATATAGCAGTGGCTGCATGTGGCCCTCTCAATCACAGAGATAACAATCCTATAAAAGAAAGAAGACACTGTGCCTCGACTGAAATGCAGTGGAGAAGGAATCCTTACTCTGGAGCAAATCTTGAATCCCCCTGGAAAGGGTTAACTTACTTACTTTATTTATTTATTTATTTTTTGAGATGGAGTTGCACTCTGTCGCCCAGGCTGGAGTGCAGTGGCACAATCTCAGCTCACTGCAACCTCCGCCTCTCGGGTTCAAGGGACTTTCCAGCCTCAGCCTCCTGAGTAGCTGGGACTATAGGCACATGCCACCACGCCCGGCTAATTTTTTGTATTTTTAGTAGAAACGGGGCTCTTAACCGTGTTAGCCAGGATGGCCTCAATCTCCTGACCTCGTGATCTGTCCACCTTGGCTTCCCAAAGTGCTGGGATTACAGGCATGAGCCACCACACCTAGCCCAAAGTGTTAACAGTATTATAGTATATGCATGGAATCAGCCACTATATACCTATTCTCCCAATTTCCAAATACTATTTCAAGTCATATTTTCTATTTGTATTTTTCTCTATCATTTACCTACTCACGTACCAGTTTCTGTCTGCTAAATTTAATCATATCTGAAGATGCAAAAGTCCTATAAAAGACACTGAGAGCTGGTCCAGATAATTGGACCAAAAAGTTTTTGTTGTTGTGTTTTTTTTTTAAACGGAGTCTCACTCTGTCACCCAGGCTGGAGTGCAGTGGCATGATCCTTGCTCACCACAACCCTGCTTCCTAGGTTCAAGCAATTCTTCTGTCTCAGCCTCCCGAGTAGCTGGGATTATAGGCATGTGTCACAACGCCTGGCTAATTTTTTTTTGTATTTTTAGTGGAGATGGGGTTTTACCATGTTAGCCAGGATGGTCTTGAACTCCTGACCTCAAGTGATCTTCCCACCTCAGCCTCCCAAAGTGCTGGGATTACAGGTCAGCCACCATGCCCAGCCTTAAAAAAATTTAAGCAATACCCTATTAAGCCTATTTAGGTCCTTCTTGAGCATACCTATACTTTTATATGTGTAATTATAGAGACCAATAAACCAAAATAAAAATAAACAACTGGCCACATACAGCGTCTCACACCTGTAATCCTAGCATTTTGGGAGGCCATGGTGGTCATATCACTTGAGCTCAGGAGTTCAAGACCAGCCTGGCAACATGGTGAAACCCTGTCTCTACCAAAAATACAAAAACTCAGCTGGGTATGGTGGCACATGCCTGTGGTCCCAGCTACTCGGGAGGCTGAGGTGAGAGGATCACTTTAGCCTTGGAAGCGGAGGTTGCAGTGAGCTGAGATCACGCCACTGCACTCCAGCCTGGGTGACAGAGTGAGACCCTGTCTCAAAAATAAAATAAAATAAACAACTAAAAACAAACAACTTTCAACTTCTATCATCCTGGACTAAGCCCTTGTTATTTCTTACCTAAACTTCAGCAGCATCCTCCAAATTCCTCTAGCGTACCTGTCAGGATACTACACACTCTCAAATAACCACTATTGAGTAAATCTTTTTTTTTTTTTTTTTTTTTTTTTTTTTTTG